GGAGGAGAGAAATGAGGAGCTGATATCAAGGGTTCAAGTGGAAAGCAAATGTTTTGAGAATGATGATGGCAACAGGTGTACCAATGTGCTTGACACAATGGGTGGATGGATGGATTGTGATAAGAGTTATGCGAGTCCCAAATAAAACGATTGTTTTTGATGTTAATAGCTCTAAGTGACACCTACGATAGGTATGATACCAGATATCTTCTGGTAACATACTTTCTGATCCATCCTGGCTGGACCTTCATAACGCGACAAGTTTGTGTTAAATTAATAGTAGCATCTATCTTTAAAGGAGATATATTTCATCGCTGGCGACGCTTTCTTTCCACAGTTCATGAAAATCACCGAATCTCCTCCGATGAAAGCCCCGTGGGAATTTGACTTTTACATCTACAATGGCGTCATCGACAAGACAGCTGCCGACTTTGTGGCCTTTAAGCAGCATTACTGGTTCGCTTGGGGAAACCTTTTTTCTCTCTTGGAACAAGTGGAGAAGTTTCTCAAGGACTATGCCATCCCAGAGGTCAAAATCAAAGGGAACGACTTGGTCGCCATCCTCCCCGAGTTCGAGCTGAAGAACAGGTTCACCAGGCAACAACTTCTCTCCGTGGTCGAGGACCCAGTTCGGGTCCAAAAGATTCTAAACACCCCCGGCCAGAGGTACAAGGGCCAAGACGGGAAGCAAGAAGCCGCCCTGAAGATCCAAGCCACGTGGAAGAGCTACAGGCAAAGGAAGCTCTTCCTCCTTCACCGAAAGCAGAAATGGGCATCGGGCGTGATCGCCATTGCCTGGCTCTTATACTGCCACAGGGTGCGGCTGAGGAAGATCCTGAAGGAGTCGCGACTCAGACACCTGGAGAATTTCCGCGTTCGAGCCAAGGTGCAGGCGGCTGCCAGCTGCTCGGGCAACCCTCTCTCTCAGCATTCCTTGCTCCAGCGATTGCAATAAGCTGGGTCTTTATCTTCCAACTACCCTCAGCCTCCCTCGCCTCCCACTCCCCTCCAATGGTATATTCGCTTGTGCATCATATTTTAACCCTCATCGGGAATCTGGGTTTTTTTTTCAGCTGCACAATCTGTTGCAATTTTTCTATAGCAGGAGGAAAAAGAAAAAAAGTCCCTTCCGTGTGACTATGGCGCTTCTGTCAGAAAATCAAGGTTTTGAACGGCACTACCTTTTCTCCCCATCTATATATACCTTCTGGCACTTTCACTGTCAGGGGGAGAAATCCTCTCTTGTCTGCATTGCTGTCACCACTTTGTCAGAAAGTATTTAAGTTTGCAGACAGCCTTTTAATTAGTGCTCACAATTTCATTTATGTTTGCTTTCTCTTTTTTTCATTCATATTCTCTTAATTAAGTGAGCTGCCTCTAATCTTCCCCTGCCAGTAGCATCATGTAGCCACCTAATTAAATTAATTGGGGAAGATGTTTTAAGTATGTAATTAAATCAATTAATATAATTTATGCCTGGCTTAACCGTACAGTGGGAAAAAACAGCTGAAGTTTGTCTAGATGAATCCACTGCAGCTTCCTGTCACTGATCCATGCTCTTCTCGATTTTCAGCATCTGGCAGCCAACTGGAATCGCATCAGGACCTCCAGGAGGACTATTATCCATGTCCCGTCATTAGGTATAACACTTTTGCCTGCAAATCTATCAGCAACCTCTATTACCCACCACATTATGGCTCCTTGATTGAGTTCAAGGAAGGCCCCTTGTTTTATTCAAATTGGTCTCGGCAGGAAAATGTTCTCGACATGATGAGAGTAATAACACAGGGCCCTCGCTCGAAACGGCGTTTAATTTGGGGATTAAGCAAATAAAGTCATTATGTGGGGGCTGCTATTCAGTGGAGAAGTGATTTGCTGTAATTCGCTTTCATCTGTATGAAATGAACTAAAAAGTTGTATTTTTCCCCCTGAAATAACAGATAATGTTTTCGATCTTCTTTAACGATAGAAGAACGCTGGCTTGTGTGTGTTGTGGCTGTCACGCCAATAAGCCAGGATATTGCTTGTACACTGTTTTTAATCAAATGTGCAGTCAAAATGATAAGCTACATTCTCTGAAATTATTTAGTTCTAATTACGAGCAGATGGGATGCTTTATTTGCACCTAGGGCGCCTGAGCAAAAGGAAATGCTGTGTGAACAAGAATAATTAAGAAGTTGAATAGTGTTTTTTGCGCTTAAATAATCTGCAGTTTCATGTTAATTAGCACTAATGTAATTATTTAATTACATTTATGAATTGGGGAACTTAAAAGCTGTTGTCTGCAACACAGTGGTAAAATAGGTATGCCAAAATGACATTGGGCATTTGAGAAATTTGCATCAGAAGCTCTTTTTTAGAAGATAAGATGCTGTCACAGTGGTTGAAATTTGTTTGATTGTGTTTAACCTGCCAACATTGTGTTAAATTTCTTCAGTGGGGTCAAATTTCTCAAGTTCACTTGGTAGCGCTTCGACAGACTGCAAAACTCAGAAGTGAAGGCCTTTCACAAAGAGCAGTGCACTGGTGATCTACTGTACTAGATTTCTGCAAGGCAACGTATTTGAACTCATGTCTCAGTACCTGTGTTTGTATACTTCCATGTGGTATAGAAATAGAACACATTTAAACAGTGATGTGAAAAGCAAACATGTGTGTGTGTATATATATGAATATAATTAAGATTATGCTTTAATCAGTAAAATATTACTAGCGCAAACTTTCCAACGTCTAGCACTTAGAACCGGCCTACTTGTAGACAATACTTGAGTTGCCCAGAGCATCTTTTATGGCTCAGGGAGGGAATTAGTTCATTCTTAGCATGTACTAAGCAAGGCAAGACAGACCTGAACGTCATTCTAACTTTAACTTAGGCTTTTATTTGAGTGGGACGACTTTGGCACGCAAAATTAGTTCCCACACAGAAATTGCACTTGTAATTGATTGCGAACAGAGAGTCTAATTGCAGACCCAATTAACTGACCGGGGTCCTCAGAATAAGGTGCAAGAGCCTTTTACCTCTGCAACTAATTGTGGACCTGACCTGATATTTTGGGGGAAGCCCTGTTTTGCTTTCCTCGTTGTATTCAAACAAATAGGGCTATGCGATGTCAACAGGCACAAAAGTGTTAGAGACAGTTCCCCACCCCCGCCCCCACCCCTGCCCGCAAATGGCTTCCTTCCTGCGCCCCTATCTCTGTCGCCCCTTCAGAAGGCTCCGTGCAATCAACCACAAAGCGAAGCCCGATGGACAGAAGCCTCTAGGAAGTCAGGGTTAGCATTGAAAGTGCTAAATTTTTTTTAAAGAAAATATCTCAAAACTTCAAAGGGACTAACCTCTTAGGTCAGAGGTTAGTCAAAGTAAGGAGAGCCAGAAAGGATTGTTTGAAATCTAGTTATCTTCTAACTGGTATATGCTTGATTTAAACAAATGCATAGCAAATATGAAGGTCTTACTATAGCAGCAAGCTTTGTTAACTCCGTCCCCATTTCAAAGGAAGACGGGTTAGTATGTACGTTTTAAGAGTTTGAGCCAAGCTCAGATACTCGTTTCAACGGAGCATTTATAAGAGCCCAACTATACATTTTCACAAGAGACTAAGACTTGGGCTTTGATCAGAGAGCATTTGCTGTGCTTTAGGGTTCATAAAGTGACTTTTGAAGATTGCATCTAAATAACACTCCGCTGCCGTGTTGTCGGCCTAATCCACAGACAGAATTTTCAAATTATGCCTTGAAGAACAATGACAACAAAACAAAGTAGTATGAAGTGCCTCCCCCCTCCCCCACCGCCCCCTACACCACTTCCTTTGGGAATAGTCCAAGAGGACTTCAGCTAGACTTGATCGGCCTTCTTTGTCTCGCGCACCAGGCACGGACCTACAGAATGCATGGCAATCGAATGGGAGTGACTAAAGTCACTTTATCTCCTCTATACACATTACAACAACAGCAGCAAAAAGTAGGTCGATTTTGTTTTCAGAGTTTGTTTGCAAAATGTCTTTCTAGAGGGGAGCTCAGTGGTTACGATTTTCAGTTTCCAGCAGGCGTTTAGTAACACAAGTGGCACCCCGCCCTCTTTTCTGCTTTCCATAGATTGACAGTCAATCCTGCTATAGACTCTACCCTAGGACTAGTTAGGCCATGCCACTGGTCATTGGGGGCTGCGCTAACTTGTTCGAACCCTAAAAGTGAAAGCCAAGGAGCTGATAACTACACAATACATTGCAGTTGTCGGCAATGTGCACACACATTCTCTGAGCCAGCACAGCACGAAAAGGATGACCTTTCAGCCAGGTTTTGCACCATAAATCGTTTAGAAGAAATCTATGACTTGGTGATATGAATAGTCAAACAATTACATACATATTGCAGCGTGATCTCTGCGACAGCCTGCCCTATATTTCAGGTGGTATTCCCAGCGATAACAAACCAGTTCAGCTATTTTTAACCCACAGGCTAGGTGGGTTGCGGCTGACTAATGGTCCAAAGAAACCAATTGTCTCGTGATTTTATAAAATGATAAAAAAAAGTGGGGGGGGGGTATGCTTTCCATATTGTGTAGGCTGATCTCTTAATTGGATATTGCATATTTTATCATTTTTATTAATGAAATATAATTTTAACAAAACAATTTACCATGGTTCATCGCAGGAATAAAACACGAGAGTCTATTTTAGGCAAAGCCTATCAGTCAAAGAAGAAAGAACTGAGACAAAAAATTCTAATTCCTCTAGAAAAATCAGAGGTCTAATAAAAACCAGCAACAACCCCCCAAAAAAACATGTGAAAAATTAATTCTGCTCCCAGTTTCTGGGCCAAATTATCTTCCATTTTAATTTAACCCCTATGTGTCTTTATTATCGTGCATCATGGGGACAGCACTTAAACTCGGTGACTTTTTTTTTTAATATACCAACAGTAAATGAAATGTACCACGTATGGGCCTCTGGTGCTGTGAGCATGTATATGAGGCAGTCACACGTCCACGAAATGCCTTGTGATTAGTGACCCCTCTCAATTCTCTTTGTCCTTTAAGGTAACAACAACAAAAGAGTGATAGCGTTTCGAGGTGCCCCCCCCCTCTTCACGTCTCTTATTTCATTGCCAGTGCATTCACTGGCTAAAAGAAACATCTTATCTACACACTTCAATGCCATGATTTTTCCTCTGTGCCTTCTCTCACAAATGAATGTTGGGGAGAGCATAATTAGTGGTCCTCAAAATATCCCATTCCATCAGTTACCGGATCCTGTCATTGTGAATCTCACAAAAGCCACATTGTCTAGCTGATCTCTACTGTCACGAAGGCCTTAAAAAAGATGAGAAACTTAGTTTTGCGTAGAAGTGGCTACACAAGGACTGGAAAAAGGCCCCAATACCTTGGGAAAAGGTGCTCTCGGCCCTACTCAGGGTCTCCCGGAGAGAGGCAAACCTGTGCTCGCTCCCATACCTGAGGCTGGAACGAAGAACTCGCGTTTGGGCCATGCCTTTTAGCTTTCGCGTCTTGGAGCCCACAACTCAGAAACAAGACACACTTTCTACCTCAGCGCCGAGAAGCCAGGACTTGGCATCTTCCACATGAGCATGTCTTCCACATGAGCATGTCTTCCACATGAGCATGTCTTCCACATGAGCATGTCTTCCACATGAGCATGTCTTCCACATGAGCATGTCTTCCACATAAGCATGCTGAACATACATGAGTATCTTGGCAAGCAGTATCGTGGAATCCTGAGTGTGTGCGCAGTGGCCACACTAGATCCTTGGGACAGATGTACTGCAGAGACTTCCCAGACAAGGTTTTCGCAGAAATATTCAGATCAGGAAAAAAGATTTGAAACCTAAACTTTCATATTTTTTCATAGCTGAAACTAAAATCAAAAGTGCTCTAGTCATCCAAGTAAGTCAAATAGATGGTCATTCATTGGCGCGGTGAGAGGCGGCGCTGTGACCCTGCTGGATGAAATCATCCGGTCGGACCTGAGCAAATGATGCTATTCCAGGACGCAGAACTAGTGCTGGGCTGAGGGTAAAGGGACAGCGGCTCAGGGGGTTTTCGTGAAGTTGAGCAATGTGAGGATAAGCTCTGAAGAGAAGACCACAAACACTCAACTCCGTGATGAGCAAGCAATCCGAGAAGCTGGATAACATAATGACTGAGGCTGCAGACTTGGAGGAAGTCTTGGTAACCACCTGCAACCTGCAGCTGCCCCATATCAAGGACGAGGCACTTGCTTGGAGGAAGGAGACTTGAAGCGCTTGCGGATGAAGATCACGGATGGCAGCCTTCAACATGGATGACAACTTAGTGTGAAGAAAACCAAAGTCCTCACCACGGGACCAGTAGGAAACATGATGCTAAGTGGAGAGCACATGGAAGTTGTCAAGGCTTTCCTCTTGCTTGGATCCACGAGCAAAGCCCCTAGAAGGAGCAGTCAAGAAATCAGATGTCGTGTTGCATTGGGTAAATCTGTTGCACAAGACCTTTTTAAAGCATGGAAAAGCAAGGAAGTTACTTGGAGGACTAAGGTGCCCCTGACCTTAACCATGGTATTTCTGACCACCTCATATGCATGTGAAAGTTGGACATTGAATAAGGAAGACCGAAGAAAATGTTTGCCTTTGAACTTCGGTGTTG